TTTGTTTACTTTTATATAATTTTGTTTAATGCTCTTAGGTAAATTAATTTTGCTCCCCCCTCTGTTTATTAAATGTTAGTGTAGGGGAACGGGAGTTCGATTTAACAAAAAATGCCTTAAAAAGAAAGAAAAAAAGAAGGGAGAACAGTATTTGTCTGCTATTTCTATTAAATCTGTTTCAGTAAATTGATGACATAGACAAGGGGCAGATTTTTGGTGTTCTTTGCATGGAGGGGGTTTGCTCTCCCCTCCCCCCCCCCCCCCCTTTTCTCCTTTGCTTAAATCTCACTTATGTCTGTGTGGCAGCTGTTGCTTCTTTTAAGGAAGCAAGTTTTTGAACTCAGGTTTCTACTGCTTATCAGCACTGTATATTAAAGACATTTCCTTCACACCTCTGAAACCATTTACATACTGAAAAATGTAGATGTTTTGCAAAAGTGATTTTTTTTTTTAAATACAGTTTTTTAAATAATAAGATTAATTATAAATTACGGAATAATTTTTCAAGAATTGCTAGATTTCCATATGCTGAAGGATTACAAGTGGTGAGACTAATGACAGCAACCATCCATTCTGAGATGAAGTATATGTTTGAAGAGACAGTTTGAGTTCTGAGGTTAAGTATAAAAATTACAAACTTTGAGTGTTAAACTTGTCTAACATGGATTTGTTGACTCCTCCTGTGGTTTCTTAGAAAGCTCTTCTTTGTGAAGGTCCTCAGCACTATCAAAACTACAAACATTGCGTCACTAGAATAAACGTATTTTGTAAAATATCGTGAAGGCAGGATTCTTGTTGCTAGCTGTCGGAGGCAAAAAAAAAAAAATATCATTAAGGTTGCAGTACTGGGACGAATACAGAGCCAGTGGTGAGGGTCATGTTCTAAACAAACCTTCATTAAGCATTCTTTGTTACTGTTGTTAGCCAGTGTATTATTAAATACAATGTTAATTAAAGATTTGCATGTTATGAGGGTGCTTTTTGCATGAAGATCAGATTGCGTTTTCATGTACTTGAAGAATGTACTGCTACCTTACTTCATCTTTTGGGTGTATTCTCTCGGTAGTTATTAAAAAAGCAGACCCCAATAACCTAAATCTGATTCTAAATTTGTTTTTTTTTTGTGTGTGTGATGTGTTTATTGTCTGTATATAGATCTGAGAGAGATATTCTAGTGCCTCTTTTCTCAAGTAGCTTTAAAAACTTTGATTAGAATTAAAACGATGTAGGAATTACTTGGCTTGCTTTGCTGCAGTGGTTGAAATTAGAGACCTCTTCTTACTGTCTAATAAACAGATCCTAAGAGAACGTGGGTTTCAACTTAGAAGGGTGTAAATTTAAGCAAAGCAGAGTACAAACTGATTAATTCTCTATAGCAGATCCACTGTTTTTTTAAGTACTGCAGCTCCATTTCATTAAATTGTCAGGATATCTTGTGGTTTGGGTAGCCTGCCTGGATGACTTCTTTATCTTGGAATTTCTTTTCATTTGAATTAACGAATTTCAGATGTAAGTTTCTTGTTGTTTGCTTGTTTTGAAGTATTTTATAAATATACACTCCAAATAACTTTAAAGTAATTTAATATTGCTTATACTGTAAAATAACTTTTTTTTTTTCTTTTTTTTAATGTAGGGCTGGTAAGTTAGAAGACGTGGAAATGTTTTTTTCAAATACTCTGCTATGTTTTAGGATTTTTTATATGGAAGATTTCTCTTTCAAAGCAGTTCAGTAAGCACATGTCTATTAAATACGAGCTAAAATGTTTTTCCATCTTTAAGCAGATTATGTAGAAGGAATGCAGTTATAAGAGAGCACCTAGAGTGCATCTTGAGAGCCATTAAACCACTTGAGCAGCTAAGTGAACTGTTCATTGATACCACTGTTTACTTTAGTCTTCAAAAGTGTTCACCCATTTGTTAATTAAATTACAAAATAAATAAAGGCAGATGATAAATATTCATGTATAGGCCTTGAAGAGGGATTGGAATATTGGTCATTTCAAGGCAAAACTAGTGTGTGTTTGTACAGGCATCTTGAAAAAGTAGTCTGACCATGATTCATGTTGGGGAAATATTCTTCAAAGAAGTATTATCTATGAAAGAAATATATGGATCCTTATGAAGCCATAGTGTTTCGCAATTGCTCTTAAGTTACATATCGTGCGTCTGGCTATAGTTTGCAGGGAGAAGACAGAGGTACGGCTGTGCTCATGGATAATAAACTGATACTTAATGGGTCATTTAATATTTAAATCTTCTTGTGATTAGCTTTTGTCCAGAGTTGCTAGCTGTCTTCAGAGGAGCTTGGAAGTGCTAGTCATTCGCTTCTAATAGTTTTCCTCCAGGCAGAAGAACATCAGCTGCATAACTCAGTAGATGATCAAAAATCTGTTTGATTTTCTGATTAAGAGACTCTGAGTACCTAGTAAAAGCCAAATGTAATCTAAAGTGTTGTGCTAAGAGGGTGTAAGTGATCAGAGAAGTGTGTGCTGAGACTCTAAGGGCACCTGCTAGAATGGTCTTGTTCTCTACAGGTTTAGTTCTGGAGAGTGTGATCGTAAGTAAGCGAAGGCTTGTGTTCTTTCCTGAAATCAGAAATGAGTGTACTTACCCTATCAGCTCTGATTCTTAGAGCAGAGTCTGCTTATCTCCCTGTCCAGTTGATTCCTTACAGAAAGGAGGACTCTCTTTGAAACCTGATCCGTTGGATGGCTGACCTGGTTTAGGCATGTTGGTGTTCTCTCCACGCTGTCCTTGAACTCTTCTGCAGTAGTTTTAGGTGCCTGCCTTCCAGTTAATGCACCTTCTAGATAACACTAAGATCTTGATAGATTTTAAACCTAGTAACAGGCACTTTCTCTTGTAACAGGCACTTACTGTTACAAATACATAAAATATAATTTATTAGAATTGTACAGGAGATTCTCTTTATGGTCTGTTTAACTTTAAGAAAGCAACTGGGATGTTGATATTTTTAAAACTTGTATTGGATGTTCTGATACGTAAGGTTTTGTTTTGGCTTCAACTTTTGAGTCCATGCAGATTTCAGCAAATTTGTCGCAGGATATGTTTAAAACGTTCTTAAAATATGAGTCATACCTTTACATAGGCCTATGATTATTTCGTTTTCAAGTATTCAGCAAACTTAATTCAAGAAATGTCTTTACCTTTTCATGTAATGATGATATAGTTTTTCGCTGTTGTTGGTATTAAAGTTACACATTTGTTTTCCTATACTGCGCTTGTATTTCTTCTCCAACCTACAAATACATTTTTATTATTTACTTTTATGTTATCTGAGATTTCCCATTGAGAAATTAGTTCAGACTGACAGTGTCATTAAGGACGTTCCCAGCTGAAGTAGCACCAGAGATCGGGGATAGAAAGCTCTGAGTCAATACAAATGTAACCAGTGCTATGTCTGCTCTATTAATTTTGCGGTCAAATTAAGTAACATTTTGACTTTTTCAATTTTATTTCTACTTACGCAACTGTCTAGATAACAAAATCAAGCAAGTACCCTGCTGTCTAGAAGCAGAACTAAATAGAAAGAGTTTTGCTGCTGAGGGCCGGGAAACACAAGTCAAC